TCCCCCAGGGAGGAGGTCACACACAGTTCCTTGTAATCGGTTCCCTCTTTCCAACCCACTCTGACACTAGTCAGTCTTACGGAATTTTTTCCTATTCTCTCAATTGGCCAATTTCTTTCCTAGCTCAGTACCTCTGAGCATGATTTGCCTGTGCCATACTTTCCTCTTGCTCTTCATTTCTAACTCTCTAATCATTGTACAAGTGCCACCTTAGACTAATTCTTTTCTTTACATTTTAATAGCTTTATTGATATACAATTTACATATATTTGAATATATTAGAAAGCTGTCTAGTCAATTTTAGAATATGTCCTTCATTTTTGTACTCATTATTATTAGCTCCCTGTTTCCCCTCCGACTTCCCTGCCATATCCCCAGGCAACTATTAATCCAGTTATTGCCTGCATAGATTTACCTGTCCTAGATTTCATGTAAAGGAAATATTACAAATAATAATAATAATAATAACAACAACAACCAAAAAAACCCACAACAGCAAAACAGCAACAACCAAAAACCCTTAATCCTAAAGAAAGCCATAAATAATAAAAACTAGAGCAAATTTAAATTGAGTCAAAAGAAAGAACAAATGATAAGGTGTTAAATTTTAACCTAATCCACCTTCCAAGGCATTCTGTCTGAGGAGAGCATCCACATCCCCGATCAGTTGTCAGAGGCCGGTGATAGAGGCTTAATCCATTTGAGGACGCTGCAAGTGGATTTTGGGCTTCCAATGTCGTCTGTAGCCTTCTGAAAACCAGGTGTTAACAATTTAAGCTCTAATCCAATTCCCGCTGCCAGTCTTGGATTTTATTCTTTCCCATTCTTGGATCACACAAACTGGTGTGTTTCTTCTGCGTGGGCTTAGCTGACACCTCATTTGGCTGTTGTTTTAAGGCGCCTTTTAAAGGCCCAGATGCTATTCTTTATGGCAGCTGGACACCGTCTGTTTTCTTCATCAAACTTTGCTACGGCACCCATGTGTTCAGCGATCACTTCAGGAGGGCAAGTATCGAATAGGGCCACATCATATGAACTAATTGTGCTTAGATTAAGGATAATGATTAAGTGTTAGCCCCCAATCCATTCATAGATCTGTGGTGTCTACATGTCCCTGGTCCACTTTAGAGACAATATTATCATCTTATTAGGGAATATTATAAATAATCTTCATGGGGTGTATGGTAATTCTATGAATAGTATCATTAATTTAGCTACTGGCATGGAATTTAAAATACTGTGGAGAAAAGGAAAGTACACAGGTATAGGATAGCTTTTTAGATTTAATAAATGGATCCTAGACATGCGCCAATTAAAAACTAAAGTGACTGAACACTTGGTAAACATGAGCTTTGGAGATGGGGCAACACTTTTACTAATGCTCATTCAGTGAGGCAGAACGACTCCTCCTGTAGGAGCACACATCACAAAAACAGAGAGAGTGAAAATACAGAATACATGGTGGTCTTATGCTGCCAATTCTTAGGGAGCTTCTAAGCAAGTGATTTGAACCAAAGTCTAATGATTTGCAAATCCACAATGTGGGGTACAAGCCATGTGCTTCTCCTCACACTGAGGTGTTTCAAATCCAATGGTACCAATTTATTTATTGATTTATATAAATTCTCCACCAAGGTGTGTGCTTGAAGGGTTACCAAAGTGCTTGGTAGCACTTAAAAAAAAAAAGAATCTTTAAAAAAATGTTTAAGTTTCTGGAATAGTTCAGTATTTTCCGGTACATAATAACATATTTGGCCTGTTGTGTATCGAGATGGGTTTCATTTTCTATCTTCTGAAGCACTAAAATTGCAAGCGTGATCGTCCCTTTGTGAAGGTCCTCACCACCAGTTGCTGCCATCTTGAATACTATTCTTTTGTGGCCCGTGGTCCAAGTGAATCTCTAAAGGTTGTTCTCAATCCTTCATTTCAGGTAGCATCCTTTTCCAGTGTCTGACCATGGAAGCAGAGAAGATCTCCGAGAAGCAGGAGGAAATCCTCTGCATTCTGGAGGAGAAATTTCCCAATTTGCCTCCGAGAGAAGACATCATCAGACTTCTGCAGGGCACGCAGTTTAGTGCTGAGGGTGAGTGACTGTGTAAGGGCCTGCTTCGTGGGATTTGGCATTGAAGGGACTTGTGTGTGCCTTCATCCTCTTTACTCTGGCTTCTGTGTCTGGAAGATTTCCAGAAATAGGCAACCAGTACTGTAGCCTCTTCTCGAGACCCTCATGATTGGATGTGTGACTGACTTATGTATCTAATGGCATCACAGAGTCCCTGCCTGTGGCACACAGGTACATATCCCACTGCTAACCAAAGTTTGCTAGTCCAAACCCATTCAGAGGTGCCTTTGAAGCAAGTGCACAAAGTCTACCTTAGAAAAGTGAAGCCATTCAAAACCCCGTGCAGCACAGTTTTGACACACATGGAGTCAACTCTTTTTTTT